CCTCCCTGGTGGCACAGTGGGTTAAAGCACAGCACTAAAAAGCTAAGGCCACTTCCACATGAGTTCGATCCCCGCCTACCCCAGAAGAGATCCACATGGTGCGGCAGACCTCTCCTGGCCCGCCCGCTGCTCCCCTCAGCAGTGTACTTCGTCGATCTGCCTGTTCTGCCCCCCACTCTGTCCCTGGTGAATCCTCTCACCCTCTGAATCTCTGGCATGTACCCCAGTTCTGTATGAATAAATAAATAAATCTTTAAAAAAAATTAACATGTGAATTATAAAATTCAATAGTAATCAAGTATTTCCTTTCTCCTACTACAAGAAGAAAGGAAGAGGAAAAAGGGCAAGAATACAGAGAAGAAAGAGTGAATGGAAGAAAAGAAAGACAATGGGAAGGCTTTGATAGATACTCAATGGGAGCCTCTGATTTCCTTATTAAACCATACTTCTCTTGAAAAACCAAACAAATGATGTAATGAAAAAGGACAAAAGAGTCGGCATCTATACTAAATAACCTGGCACTTCTCTTGCTAAAGTGCATTTTAACATTGTTTGCTGAACAAAACTTAAGTCCAAATGGTTACAGCACATTATCAATCTTTCTAAAAACAGGAAATACCTTTCCTGATTTTAGAATTTTACACAGCTTAAGACATGTCCTTTTAAAAAACTTTACTTATTTCATTCTCCACAGAGTAAATATAAAAGTCTCTTATTCATTAAGTTTGGACAAGGTCTCAGAAATAAAGAGTCAAGGCATCATCTAAATTCTATATGCCCCAGTAGTCAATCAATATGAGAAATAATACTTGGAGAGTTATATTCTATTTGTCCTGAAACTACTACTCTATTTAAACAGACACATTAGGCCAATTTGGGGCTGTAAGTAATTACTATGGCTCCCCCAGGCTCCCTCCCAAGATTTATTTTTATAAGGTTGTTAAAATAATAGTAATTATGAATATTTGTACAGTACCTCACAGTTTACAACATAGTTTTGCATAGTGTATCCCTAGACCCTCCCAGCAATCCTGTAAGAAGACAAGAGAATAAATCATGCCTCCATTTGGCAGTTAAAAACACTCATGATGAAAAGAGTACAGTGATTTGCCCTAAGTCATTCAGCTGGTAAGTGACAGATTGGGATTTTAAAATACATCTTCTGGTTCCAAAGTCAATATTCACTCCAAGAAAATAAATACTTTACCACGGACTGCCAACGAGTTTGCTATCTGCTTACTTTGAGCATTCTTTTTCCCTTAAACCTTTATACCAAAAATGTTTAAATAAGTCATCACCTCTTCTAAAGTTACTTCAGTACAAATTTATGTTCAAACACTTACTCAGCAAAATCTGCCACACATAGTACTCAGAAAAGTGTCCCTGAGGCCTTCCACCTGGACCTGTGCTGAAGTGTAGCTACCCAGAAATCTCACTAAACATGGGGTTCTTGGCCCCAAGTTATATTTTAGACAAGAAGTTTTACAAAGTGTTCTATACTGTTCCATGTCTATCCTTAAACATGCTGACCTAAAACAATTTAACACACTACTGATTCAAAACAAGATTTACAAAACATCAAAGGCAAGAACTGAAGAAGAGGAAAAAATAGAAGCTTAAACACCAATCTATGAGACCAGAGAAAAGAAAGAAGCACTGGGGGGTGAGGAAGGGTGACACATCCGACATGTCATGTACAGGACATGCACATGTTCACTAGGGAACCCCCTAACGAAAAGGCAACTGTCCAGAAGCAACTCAACACAGAAGACAAGTAAAAAAGGAAATCAGTGTGTGAACATTGAGAACCATATATTACGAAGTCATACTCTCATTTTGTAAAGTAAAAACATCCAATGGCATATCACTGCACTCCTTTCATCATGACTTTCATCATGTAACCAAACTACAGAATTAGAGCACTGGAGATCATCTTGGTTAATCCTGTAAGGCTATATTGTTCAATTTGTACAAACATAACAGTTATTTTTCCAGACACACACATTAACAGCAGAGTAAAGATGAGAGACCTCATGACTGGTGCCGTGGGTCAAAGCTCTAACACAAACACCACCTCCCTCCCAATATTTACTTGGATTTGGACTGCCTCTACCAACTTTCAAAGTTTACTTCAAATACAATATGATGGTTGCTAAACTGAATTTTAATGATAATATGGTTTAATTCAAAATTATTTATGATGAGCTAATAAAATCTTTCATAAATCTACTGGGAAGTATTCTCTGAGTCATTTATATCACTCTTTTCCTACAGCAGTTATCTTAAGAAATGGAATGTAGATTAGCTCCCATAACTCACTGCTGCGTTTTATTATTTTATCATTATAAATAATGGTCAAGGTTAAAGATAATAGTGATATAAATCCACCCTTAATGCACATAATGAAGTCTATATGCATAATAAGTAATAGGGTAATTAACTATGGAAAACATACATGCTAGCAGAGAGAAATCCTTTGCAATTAGGTGTACTTATTATCACTCATGAACAGTAAGTAGCACCCTTTCCCAAAGCTTACACAAAACTCTAGAATCAATATTATCCCTGCCAGAGTATCTTATATAAGTAATTCTTAGAGGCCGGATAACTCGTATTCCCAAAACAAGGGGGATGCGAGAAATCATCTTCCTTAAATAAGAAAGCCAAAACTTTATCTAAATTCCTCTAATACTAAAACCTCAAATTAATGTGTCAGATCCATCCTCACTAATCTTTTTTTATTTTATATTTCATCCTCACAAATTTCTAACAATCCTCCAGAAAAGTTCTACTACTAACTTTTCAGATTCACGAGAAGCATAGACATAGCTGCATAAATACTAGGTTTCAACATATTGAATTACCCATTTAATTTGATTTGATCTAAACTGAAAGTGTCAAAATGAACATCAAGTTAACTGCAGCTAAGAAACTACCCAGAATCTACTAGTCTCTTGGCCTTCCCTGGTGGCACAATGGTTAAAACACAGCACTATGAAGGGATCTGTTGCAGGAGTTTGATTCCCAGCCAGGGAGCTAAATGGTGTGACAGACCCGCCCACTTCTCCCCTCAGTAGTTCATTTCAGTACATCTGTGTTCTTCTGCTCCCTACTCCATGTCTTGTGAATCCTCTCACCCCCTGCACCTCTGGACTGTACCCCAGTTCTTGTATACATAGATAAAACTTAAAAAACAAGAATCTACTATTGTCTCCCAAAAAGTACTAAAGATAACCTTCCAATAGGCTTTGCTGTAGGACTATGACAGATGAGTAAGTACAAGATGAAGACAGAAATTATACATTGTAATGCAACACCTGATCCACTGGAAAGAGGTCATTAACCCTAAAATTAGAGGCAAGTAAGTTACTGGATTGGCAAAAGCAAGAGCATTAGAAACAAAATGTTTCCTGGATGTTTCATACAATTCTGTGTTGATGTTTCATACAATTCTGTTCTGTGTGTTTTCCTGTACATACATAACAGGATTGACATTTAAGCTCTCTAAAACTAAAACCCATGAAAACAAATTCAAAAAGAAAATTGACTAACAACAAACTAGAGGAAAGTGACTAATAGGCTAATAATTACAAACTTACAATACAATGGCTTCTACTGAGTGTTTTTTTAAAGATTTATTTATGCATATAGAATTGGGGTACAGGCAGGAGGTAGGGGTGGGGGTGGGGGAGTGGTTGAGAGGATTTGCCAAAGACAGAATGGGGAACAGAACAGGTAGACAGACAAAGTACACTGCTGAGGGGAGCAACAGTTGAGACAGGAGAGGTCTGCTGCACTATGTGGGTCACATCCCAGGTCAGGGATAGAATTCGTGCTCAAGCGGATGTGACTAGCTTCTTTAGTGCTGCACTTAAAGTTCTTGTGCCACCAGGGAGGTGCTTGAGTACTTTAAATTGTTGCTCAGAAAGACGAAGAAATTAAGGCTATACATTAACATAAACTTATTCCTTTCCTCACACCCTCCATTAAAAGAGTAATAAATAGGCTTCTGTATTGATATCAATTCTTCCTTGAGTCACCACGTATTGAATGAACTTGATGTTTATATAGAGGAAACTGGACAAATGGTCATTAAGATGAAAAGAATTCAACTTTTACTCCTAACTAGTACCACATTAACTTTCAACAAATGCTCACAGAAGTTACAGACGGCTGACAAATTTTCTAAGACTGAAATATCTATCAACCCATCACCTGCAAAATAATATACAAGGGGGGCCCTCCCTGGTGGTGCAGGGGGTTGAAGCGCTACACTGTGAAGCTAAGCCAAGACATGGCCACTTCATGTGAGTTCAATCCCCACCCTGAAGGTAAACCACATGGCTTCTGGCTCACCCGCTGCTCCCATCAGCAGTGTACTTCATGGATCTGCCTCTGCTGCTCCCCTTTCTTTTTCTGGTGAATCTTCTCGCTACCCCTTACCTCTGCCTGTACCCCATTTCTGTATGCATAGATAAATAAAATCCTAAAAAAATAAAACAGGCCAGGGCCCTCCCTGGTGGCACAATGGGTTAAAGTACAGCACTCAAGCAAGCTGCAACTGCTTCAGTGCAAGTTCGATCCCCAGTCCCAGAGGTGACCCACATGGCATGGCAAGGCAGACTACTCCTGACCCGTCTGCTGCTCCCCTCAGCAGTATATTTTGTCAATCTGCCTGTTCTGCTCCCCACTCTGTCTCTAATGAATCCTCTCACTGCCCCTGGACCTCTGGCCTATACCCCAGTGCTGTACACATAAATAAGTAAATCTTAAAAAAAAAAAAATAGTCTACAAGGAATATAACAAGATAGAAGTCACCACTGGCTTTATGGCCTTAGTAAAACTATGGGCAGAGGAGAAGTAGAGTAGAATTTTACAGTCAAAAAAAATTCTTACAGTTCATATAAGTCTAAATCTGAGTGGCATAAATCCTCTTCAGTAGATTCATATTGACAAATTTCAAAAGTTTAAAGCAAATGAATATTAAATGTATAACTTGCCAAGACTTGGGCTCCCCAAAGTGGAGATAATTAATGCTGTAGAGGTCCATGTCTTCAGTGTGCCATGCAAAGGTGGTTTTCCACATGCCAAAATAGAGGTAAGGGGTATTTACACCCTCAATAGAAATGCCACACTCTTCTTCAACCACATCCAAAACTGTATTTAGGCGAGCTATGTTCCATTCATCCACACCCTGGAACCGGGAGAGAAAGCGAGAGAAGGGGAAAAAAATGAAATATTAGTTAATAAATAAAGATAACATTTACTAATCAAATTCTCATCTCCCAAAATTACTATAATGTAAATTTCAATTCATTTAGAAATGAAAATTAAAGCAATCTTTTTTGAGATGTATTTCTATATCAATCCATTTTATTTACATATAAACTCAGTTTATAAGCACATACTTACACAAATACACATTATTATTAATAATCCAAGAATACTACCAGTGTATTGTAGTTCTATATAAATATTAGTGTAAAATTTTACAATAACTGCCTGACTCAAAATGGAAATGTAAATTAAGGCTCTATTCTCTACTTGCTATTAGCAAAAAATTACTGATTAAAGAATATGATCTAGAGGTGTTTTCCATCTTCGGTCTACCCTTTTCTTTGTTTGTTTTTGGAAGTGGGCATTTTGCTTGCAGATAATTTATTTATAGATTTGTAAAAAGTCAAACTTCATGTGATCCCAATAGTGAAATTTATCTTCTGCCATCTCTCTCATTCCATTCATTTTCATTCTTGCATGTAATACATCATTTCTTAAAAGTTAAATATAATTAAAGCAAGAACCAATATTATTCTGAGCCATAACTGTGTTTTTATTCCTCCAACTAAATATAATCTCTTATTGTTGATGAGAAATGCAAAACACAGAGTAATTACTAAAAACTGCTTATCCCTGGTTCAGCAAAATCGCTTGAGTAGTGTAATTTCATAACAGTAACAGAACATTTGATGATAGAGAAAAGGTTGTATTCACTACTATGAAAGCTAACATGACAGGAAAATGTTCTGGTTTTATTAGACCTTATCAATAAAGTAATTAATTCACTATACAACTGTTTAAAATGTTACCAACTATATATCTTTTCCATATACTATCCTCATAACCACATTGTAAGTCTCAGAAATTGGACCTATTCCTACACACCTACACAATCATTTAAATATTCATTTAAATCCATCTCAACCTCCTCATGTTGCTATTGAGAGGGGTATAAAATTCATTTATGGGGCCCTCCCTGGTGGCGCAGCGGGTTAAAGCACAGCACTGAGAATCTAAAGCCACTTCTGCATGAGTTCGATTCCCGCCTGCCCCGGAGGTGACCACATGGTGTGGCAGACCTCTCCTGACCCCCCCGCTGCTCCCCTCAGCAGTGTACTTTGTCAATCTGCCTGTTCTGTTCCCCACTCTGTCTCTGGTGAAGCCTCTCACCGCCCCTGAGCCTCTGGCTTGTACCCCAGTTCTGTATGCACAAATAAAATAAATCTTTAAAAAAAAAAATTCATTTATGTATATCTACAAGGTTCTCTCCAATAACTATGTCAGTGATTTCATGACAATTAGGTCAAAAATGTCCCTTATACACTAAAATTTAATAGGGTTGTTCTGTTTCGACTTGGATGTTTAGATGATTCTATAGTAAGTATATTATCTTACTTCTCTCAAGCTTCTAGATTAGGAAAATTGTTTGAAGAAGTAATAATGAAACTCTGTCTCAGGATATATAGTGGTAAATACCTCAGAAAATAATTTAATTCCCAAGCCCCCCTTAAATAATCAGTCAATACATAAATTAAATCCTACAGTGTGAAATTTACTATTCAGAAACTGGCCCAAGTATATTTTTGGAGAAGACCTTAGGTTACAATATATGAAACTTCATAAAAGTTCAAACCAATCATGTACAATATTTTTTTTAAAGATTTATTTATTTATTCATATAGAACTAGGGTACAGGCCAGAGATGCAGAGGGTAAGAGGATTCACCAGAAACAGAGTGGGGAGCAGAACAGGAAGATCGACGAAGTACACTGCTGAGGGGAGCAGGGGGCGGGTCAGGAGAGGTCTGCCGCGCCATGTGGATCTCCTCCAGGGCAGGCGGGAATCGAACTCATGCAGAAGTGGCTTAGGCTTCTTAGTGCAGTGCTTTAACCCGCTGCGCCACCAGGGAGGGCCACATGTACAATATTTTATCTCACTCTTTATAATGATGCAGTCTCATAACTCTAGTCCAATCAGACTTCAGTTCAATCACTCTAATAATAGAGACCTATTTAAAAGTCATTACTGAGGCAATGAATATGAAGCAATAAATAAGGACCATATTAAAAGAATCATTTTTAAACTGAATGAGCTTAAGAATTTAGGAACACACTATTCCTCTGAAATTCCTACATTTGAAGAAGTCATATTTTTGAGTGACATCATCTTTTAAAAATAACTGAGGTTGAATTCCTCGACATCCTTAGGGCTAGACATGCATTTCTAAGAGGAAGAAGTAGAGAACAAAAGTGTTAACAGAAGACCCAGATACTGCCCAGTGCTACTACTGACCAGCAAGATAATCACTGAGGTTTTATGAGCTTTCAATATTTCTTCATGAAAATGTGAAGGCTACACCACCTCACAGAGTTGCTCAGAGTAATGAATAGGCTAAAGGACACAACACCTTTGGAAAATAGAACTTATTATCTTGGAACCGATCAACTGAATGCCTCCACTATTCTCTAATAATTTTTTTTTAAAGATTTATTTATTTGTGCATACAGAACTGGGGTGCAGGCCAGAGGCTCAGGGGCGGTGAGAGGCTTCACCAGAGACAGAGTGGGGAGCAGAACAGGCAGATCGACAAGGTACACTGCTGAGGGGAGCAGTGGGCGGGTCAGGAGAGGTCTACCACGCTATGTGGTCTCCTCCGGGGCAGGCGGGAATCGAACTCATGCGGAAGTGGCTTTAGATTCTCAGTGCTGTGCCTTAACCCGTTGCGCCACCAGGGAGGGCCACTCTCTAATAATTTTTACTTGTAAGCTTTTGCTAAAACAATAGCTGAACAATTGGTGAATGATAATAAAAGTTTACTGACATTCTTTTTAATAATAAGCAAATAAGAAGCATGCAACCATTTCTTCTGGGAAAGATGTTTAGATGTCATTTTTTTTTAAAGGTTTGTTTATTTATGCATACAGAACTGGGGTCAGAGGTGCAGGGGCAATGAGAGCATTCACCAGAAAAAGACTGGGAGCAGAACAGGCAGACTGACAAAGTACACTGCTGAGGGGAGCAGTGGATGAGACAGGAGAGGTCTGCTAGGCCACATGGGTCACCTTGAGGGCCGGGGATTGATCTCACACTAAAACAGCTGTGGCTGGTTTGCTGTGCTACTCTTTAACCCACTGTGCCACCATGGAGAGGCCTTAAATGTCATTTCTTTTGCAAATATGAAAAGCCATATAATTTCAATAAAAAAGGTTATAAAGATATTAAGAATAACTGGTATAACAGCAGATAAGAATAAATCTTACTGCTTCAAAATGTCTTTCTTATTAATTTTTGTTCTCTGCTATTAACTGAACAGTCTATCCCCTTCTAGGACAGCTCTTCTCAAACACTGTGGAACACCAGGTATCCTTCACAGATTTAGGCAAAGAATATTCTTCATTTACCAGTTAGGTAAAAGTATTTTACTATACCTCATTACACTCTATACATATATATATATAACTAACCAAAACAATCTGACAAAATAGGTAAAATTATATATACAATTGAACAAATTTTAGAAAAGCACCTAAATTTGACTTCATCACTCTAAACAGGAAGCCCAAGTATTTTGATTATAAGCTCTACTAGGGGCCCTCCATGGTGGCACAACCGGTTAAAGTGCAACACCATGAATCTGAAGCTCGCACAGCCACTTTGCCACAAGCTCAATCTCTGGACAAGGAGGTGACCCACGTGGTGTGGCAGACCTCTCCTAACCCCCACTGCCCCCCACTGTTCCCCTTAGCAATGTACTTCGTGGATCTGCCTGTTCTGCTCCCCACTCTGTCTCTGGTGAATCTTCGCACCACTCTTGCACCTCTGGCCTGTACTCCAGTCCTGTATGCATATATAAATAGATCTTCAGAAAAAAAAGTCTGCTAGGATTAATGCTCCATTCGGACTACCTGAGGAAATTTGGTTTACTGTGATGCAATCTCTTAATCACTGTGCTTCCAATTTTGATCATTAAAACAACAACAAAACTTATCCTCCTCTTCTCTCAGCCTCAAATGTCAATAAAGAACCAGAAGCTAACTTTTAGAACAGGCAAATACATAAAGTCTATTTTTTCCCACTCAGGATTACAGATGTCCTACCCAACCACTGACAAACCTTATCATGATGCTTCACTTGGGGGTTGGTGATAAAACTGCTTTAGTAAAAAAGCAGTCTCCAGAAAGACCCCCACCTACAAATTAGCCCCATAATGCCCAGCCAGAATTTGCCAAACCATACAAAGCTTAAAGTTGTCAAGTCTCAGCACAGAATCTGCACATAGATGCACATAAACACAAGTTCCAGACAAAAGTTTCTTTCTACTATCCATCCACCAGAATAAAGCTCTTCCACATAATATTCCACAGGAGTTTGGGCAATATTTATAAATCACCTAACTTGCCCTGTGCAGGCATTTTCCCCTGGTGAGCACTCCCTTCGCACCAATTACCCAATCAAAATTCTAGGCCGCTCCTCCTATTTGTCTATTTACCCTGTACCTGTTAGGTTTTCCAAGTAGGAAATACTATTAGACCAAGATTTGTGCACTTGTGTAACTAAGAAGTTTACAAAGGATTATTATCTGTATCTTTTGCTTATCAGGAATCAAAAGACAATGTGAAAGGATTCCTAAATCATAATTACCACAACCATAGTCAGAGCTGATTTAGGACCAGATTTTGGATTTTGCAGGACTAAGTGTTCCAGAGTGGCATTAGAGCATAAACAATATATCTAGAAACACACACACAGAGAAATCATAGCAAGTTTGAATTCACAATCATGTGCTCTGAAGGCCACATCTGAGCTAATGAACACACACTTCTCAGGACTGTGAGCACCTAGATATCTCTGCAGTGAATGCACTAAAGCAATTGGAAGACTTAAGGAGACAAATGCAGCTACATGACATATCAGTAA